ATCGGGCTTCTTCTGTGTCTGGAATTATGATGTCCAGCCTCATCATAGGTTTGTAACTCTCAGGAATTTCTGCCCCTGCTTGTACACACACCTCTACAACCGCTGGAGCTTTACCATGGTACCTTCTGAGAGCAGTCTGCAAAGGTGGTCCATGTGGATCACGTAAATGCCATACATAATTTTGGGGGATCACCTCATCCAATATCGCATCCTGCCACCCGTGCTTCCCATCCCTCCATTGGTGCTTGAAGGCCCCACAGAGCTTTGCATTATGTCCCCATGGACCTACATGCACCTCAGAGCAATAACCACAAGCTTTCACTGAATACTTCTTCATCAGTTGCCTCACACCACGTCTCACACTGCTGTATGCTTTCAAAGTCCTTTCAGCAAGCCTTCTTGTATCGGATGCTGACAATGGCGGTTGCTCAAATTGGGCTCCATAGGTGTCCAGCTCTGCAAGGAGTGACATGCAATTTTCCGAGAGGTGTGGCTTTGGTTCCTCCACATATCCACCTCTGTCGATCACTTTTTTCCCAAGCATTCGGATCGGAGAAGTCCTTCTGCGCGAAGGGTATTCAGGAAAATCGACACCTGCCTGAATACATAGCTCTACAACTGCAGGGATTCTATCGTAGTCAAACCGAGTCTCATGCTTGATGCGTCGACCAAAGGGATCAAAGAGGTGGTATGATTCAATAGGGATGAGAACATCATTAATGGAACCTTTAACCCAACTGTGGTAGCTTCTCCGCTGCTCACTTCCAGTGCCATGACAGTCTTGAATCTGGTGGCCAACTGGACCAACATGGACTTCAGGACATTTGCTGAGGTGGAAAGTCAAAAATGAGTTCAATCATGGACAGTGAAAGCTATAAACAGAATTCATGCGAGATGAAATTAAGGTATTTGAGTTTCACATCTTAAATAATTGACAGGTACTAAAGAGAACGACTAATTTATTTCTATGCTTCCATACTGTTTACATAGTTCATTTATCATAATTAGGTGCTTTAAAACCCCTAACATTAACCACATACAGAGAAAATGCGATAAATAAACAGTATGAGAATGTGTGTAACACTGTCTCAAACAAAAAGAAATACTAGAAATAAATTTTGAAATGGGCATCAATCTTATACATAAATGAATTTGAGATGCCTAATTAATGCAGCAAAAGCTTTAGTCTAGCTTGATAATTTTTTCAGGCAGTTTATCCAGAACACAAGTTTCTTTCAAGGGATGCTATTGAATTGTGAAAAGAATATAGCACTGCATGAGAAAATAGAGAGGGGATGGAGTAAATATGCTCAATCATCAGGGATAACATAGAAAAGAGAGGCCACAACTTTTCTTCAACTTACCTACAACCATATACTGTAACCACATTCATTAGCTGTGAGAGGCCTTTGATCAACACCTTCCAATGGTCCAACACCTCATAAGCTACAGGAATAAGTTCAGGAACCAATAGACCATTTTTGGGGGGCTCAAGAGGTTTCTCGATTCCCATTTCTGCAAGTCTCTTATCTCGCCTAGCTGCCCGTTGCATCTTTTGTATTGGGATGGGGTAGGGTTTCTTTTTGTTCTTTGGCAGTATGGAAGGGAGATCAACATTTTGTTTATGGCGTTTATACATCTTCTTGTCGGAAAGATGGTACAATTCCTGAGGAACACAAACCAAAGTCCTTGTTATTCTTCTTAAACTTTTTGAATATGTTACATTCAAATGCAATCAGCAAAAGTTCAAACAAATAGGGGCTAATATGATATACACAAAAACATACCAACCAAGTTAAGATTATTCCCATACTCAAAATCTACCCCATTCATAAATCTGAGCCAAGTTACTCCTAATAAATTTGAACTATATCCATGTGCAACATCTATGGACAGACATCTTCACTCTGCTAGCTCCAGTTTCACTTGGAAGTTATCAGAAATTTATTCAGCACATAGCTACAGCAGGTAACTAACCTTGAAGCTTTATATGCTTTTACTGTCTGATGAAGAATATTTTGCACCAGGATGTACTGCATAAGGTCAAGCCCATCAGAAAACATAATCATGAACCACGATTATCACTCTTAATCAGCATAAAAAATATTTAGTTACTTCCTCTGTCCACAGAGAAGTTAAAAATATAGCCAAACTAGCAACTCATTGATAAGCTTTTTTGTTTCGATAGTTCCTTTTTCAAAGGTTTATGGATCACCTAGGGTTTTTGCCAGTTGTTTAAGCTCATTTTTCCTGTGCCCCCGAAGGTGATGGCCTAACAAGATGTCAACCTCTTCTATCACGTTTAAGTTTGATAAACAGATTAGATATCATCCTATAATATTAATGTCGGGCATGAGAAATATTGATTGGTTCAGTAACTTTTAAAATTTTGTGTAAAAAAAAGCAAAAAGAAGAGTTTCTGTTGTCTTCCTGTTGTGATAGCATCGACCATATCAAGTCCAATATTGGTTTGCCAATAGTGAGAAGGGATCGATTTATCCTTGTCGATAATAATCAGGTATCCTCAAAGACCAGATACATACGACCAAACTTAAGTGACGCCAACTCCAAAAGGTAGAAGGAAAATTTTCCACGAACAATAAAGAACCCTAAAAGTTGCAATCTTTTCTACGCTAGCGCAGTATTTCGTCCAATTCACCTACATACTGACCCGAATTGCATTCGAGTCACCCAAAATAATAGGAATAATAACCCTAAAGAATCGAGGAACGCACAAATCACAACAACGGCAGAGAGCCGAACAACTTACCCTATTAGCATCGGGATGGGGGCGCGGCTGCCAGCTCCTGGAGCCGGAGACCGTCTTGGGGGAGGCGTCGAACCGCCGCGCGACAGAGATGGGGAAGGAAGAGGAGGAGAAGCTGGGATTGGAAGGCCTGAGTAGGAAGGGCGTCGCAGGAGGTGTCCAATCGGAGTTAGAAGATAGGGGCGGGTGGACGAATAGGCATTTGGAGGGTCGCGGCACTATGGCGATCCCCAACATCACCGCCATCGATCGCCACCTCTTCTCTTCTGCCGCAAACTCCTGGCTCTTCGAGGGGTGGAGCAGAGGGACGGGTGACTTTAATCTTATGCATTGGCCAAGTTACGACCAATGCCTTCTAAATCACCTAACGACAAAATAACCAACGAAAGCCTGCGGCAGTATTTTTGTCTCAAGATTAACAAAACAAAAAAAAATAAAAATAAAAATAAAAATAAAAATAAAAGTATATATATATATATATATTTCTGTTAAAAATTAGATTATATATATATGGGGTAAATTCTCAAAAAAAAAATTTTGAATGATCATCGCCTTTTAAAATTTCCTACAGAGCGTTTGTATTTTTGAAAATATTTTATAACTTTTGAAAATATTTTGAAACGATACTTTTTTTTTTTTTCCAAAATGATACTTAAAACTAGACTTTTTTTAACAATCACTTGCGACCTTCACGCTATGGCTTGCCATCAGTTGTAAACCCACCCCCTCCCCTCACTCGTAGCTCTCATCATCAGTTGTAGGGGAGGAAGGAAAGGAGCACACTATTAACTGCAAGAGGGGAAGGAGAGGTGGTGGCCACACACCCTTTGTCATCAGTTGCAAGCCCCTCTCGTACCATTGATTACCGGTAATGAAAGAGAGGGGACAACTGCAGCCCTTGTCTTTGATCGCAAGGAGGGGGGGGGGGGGGCCTTCACTATCGGTTATAGGCCCTCTTTGCGTCGTCGCTCATGGGCGAGAAAGAAGAAGGGGCAATCGTGCACTCTTGTCGTTGGTCATTGGGGACAAGGGGTGACTTCATTGTTGACCATGAGTGAGAAAGGAGAGGGGGCAAATCATGCACAATTATCATCCTTGTTTATTATCCATGGGCTCTCCTCGTGTTGTCAACCACAAGTAAAGAATGAGGGGAGATAGCCCATATGCCCTTACCATCGATTGTAGGGGAGGAGGAAGGAAGAAAGGAGCGCAGGTGTGCAACGATAGAGCCAACGGGGTCAATGATAGGTCCGGAGAAAAAACGGATAAAATGATCAACTTTTTTCTTACACACACACATACATACATACATACATACATACATACATACATATATGTATACATATATATATATATGTATACATATAT